ACAAATAAATTCAATAATAAACCACTGATAAATATTTTCTTCCTAAGTCAGTTGTCCACATAGGTTTGTAAATTTGAACAGTTTTGGTTCCAGTTGCTGCTACTCTGCCCCTATTTATATGATCTTATACCATGTGTAGGTGGCTATTGCTTTGGAGACTGCTGCACTGTCAGATGAGTATTTTGTTAAGAGGAAATTGTATCCAAATGTTGATTTCTACTCTGGGTTAATTTATAGGTATGTGAAAGATATTATATATTTTCCATATCCAAGTTCAAGAAATGTTAAACAACTTATTGTATTTATTTTAATTAGGGCAATGGGCTTCCCAACGGAGTTCTTTCCTGTTTTGTTCGCAATTCCTCGGATGGCTGGCTACTTATCACACTGGCGAGAGTCCCTGGATGATCCTGATACGAAAATAATGAGGCCAGCTCAGGTGAATTTCTTACTTCATTTTGGGTCCTCTGTCGTATGCCTTGTATAAATGATTTTTCTAGAATTTTAATCTCCTTGCAAATGCTTGTGACTTCTTTGAGTGACTTAGTGAGGACATCAAACTAAAAATTTACATGTAAAGCAGTCATTGTGATTATTTCTATCAAGCTTTGCTTCTGAAGAATGTGTCTGAAAATTTTTGTACTGATAAAATAGGGGTGTACCTTTCTAGGATAGTTGCATCTTTTGTTATGACTCTCACAGATTCAGGATATGACTCCGTTGATATCTAAGACAAGCAAAGTAAGTTTTCCAGAGTGGTTAAGGAGTTGTGTATCCCAGCACAACTTGGGGTGGTTCCTTCCCGTACCCCTTAGGAGTGCAATAGATATATTGTTGTACATAAGAAGAAATTCAAGCAAATTTATATGGAATAGATATCCTACTATTTCTGTGCTTTTTATTGGTTTTCTGATGGAGGATTTGAACTTTTTTGTCACCACGATGCACCATGTGCGGTACACCTGAAAAATGAGTTATCTGAATCTAATTTAACATTAATGATCTGGATATTGATATATTATCAGGATATATACCATCTGAGAATAGTATCTGTGACTTCTGATTTAAGGTCTTCAGGATCCTAAATTTGATGTGGACAGATTCTAATTTCTTCCAGTGTTTTATTTCTGCATAGTATTTATTTATTTAGTTTTTGAATTGATAGCGGAAGTGGTATACATGACAACTCTCTACAGCTTTCTATTAATTCAGCTTATTGTACTGCTGTATCTTCATGTTTTATTTTTGTATGATCATCCAGGTCTACACTGGCGTGTGGTTGAGGCATTATATGCCACTCAGTGAACGGATGGTATCGCCTCAGCAGCAGAGAACTTGGTCAGGTGTCCGTTTCAAATGCCACCAGGCGGCGTCTGGCTGGATCCGGAGCCTAGGATTGAAGATAATCTACATCAAATTTTACATTGGTTGGAAAAATAATAAACAGGCTTCTTTAAGTGTTTGGCATGGTGTATCATTACTTTCCTTCCGAAGACATCACTGGTTTTGGTCATGTGATGCACTCTCCATGAATAAGAACAGTAAAACAGTCAACCGATGATTAGATTAAAAAATTCCACTACCCCTTGAAGTTAGGCTTAATTATAAAGGTATTCCATGTATTTTCATAAATTACATTGACATCCATCCATTAGCAAACATATTAGGCGAACAGTGTTAACGGGCTTATCTCAAAATGAGTCATTATTCAACATAAGGTAAATATTTTTCAATTATGTTATAAATATTGTATATAATATGGATGGCTACTATACACAAATAAAATACATAGTACCAAATAGTGTTGTAAATGATATTGACACATGGGTGGAAGATGGTCATCCACCAATATATTTATGTCTGTGTAATTGCACTCCTACCGATAGTGCAATATAGCTATGTATTTTGCCTATAAATTGGTCTTCCACTTTTGAATGAACAATACACTGAATGAAATATATATCTATATCCTTATATCATTTTTAGTATTATATTTTCTCTCTTACTTTGTTTGTTTGAATTAGTTATTTATACCTACATTAATTTGTTGGTTTTATCACACGTAATCAGTACGGAAGTTAGTCAATCGAGTTATTGTCGAATAATTTTCTATATTTGAAAGCTTTTTCAAATTGCCAACATTGCGAAGTTAGAATTTTCAGGCCTAAACATTTTGAGGTACAACGACATGTCATAAGCTCTAGATGTTGAGCTTTATCTTAATTCAGAAAATCTTAGAGATAACATAAAGGATAAAAACTCGCAAACTTCTAAGAATCACGCAAAGTTATTGATTTTTCTTCATCGTCACATCTAAGAAGGATTAAAAAATGAATACATCACTATTAAAGATTCTTTAGAGTTGTGAAAAAAAATTTAAGGTTAGGTTTAATAAAAAAAAAACCATCATCATTTCAAAAGCTATACATGAATGGTTTAACCTACGATTCCAAGACTTTAAGACTATATACAAATATAATTCAGTAATACATAGAATCACTGTTAAATTGAAATTTGTGTGGTCAGTTTGTACTAGATTTAGAAAAATTGGAGAAGAAATACTCTACATTCCATGCGTCAAACATTCTATTGCAACAATAATATTGACAAACATGAGTTGAAGACATATAGTGAACTTATAGCATGTCTTTTGTTTGCCGAGGAGAATGATGAATTACTAATGAGGAACCATGAGGCTCGTCCAACTGGCCACCAAGCTTTTCTAGAAGTAAATGTTATATCTTCTTGTGGCCAAGGACGAGGGCGTGGCAAAAATAAAAACAATTATTTTTGCAAGGGTTACCGTGGATGCTTGAAAGTCCTTCACACCAAGTCAGAAAATGGAGAAATGTCCTATACCACTAGAAGTGGAACAACCATCCACAACACCAGAAGTGGTATAATAAGAGCAAAGAAAAGAAAGAAAAAAGTTTACCTAATAAACTCTTTAAAAAGACTGAAAATAGTTGTTATAGATATAGAATGAAATGACACTGGTTGTGTTGCCATACGCTGAAATATTTGGTAGTTCTCTATCAAAAATCCATTGAAGGAAAATAAAAATTGATAGAGATGAATTTTGGTGAGGGGACATTAGGCACCACCCTCATCAATTATCCATCCAATTTTTCTAATACGGATGTTTATGATTTCTTTGTGAACCCAAACAAAATGAAATGAAAAAAATAAATTAAAGCAATAATTTGTGTGTATGTATGTTAGTTTTGCTTATGTTTGCTATTTATTATTTCCATAATGTAATAGTTTGAGTAATGTCTATGTATTAATAAATCAAGTGTGTATTTTTCATATAGAGGCATGTATTATGATAATTCATTGGTTAACTCTAAGATGAACGATGAAGATATATGCTTAGTGGATAGTACTACAACTCACACAATTCTTCGTGATAGAAAATATCTCTAAACAAACATTACCTAAAGCTTTAATTCAATATCAAGTTTTGCAGACTTGATTGAAGGCTCTGGCAGAGCAAATATGATGCTACCCTAAAGAACAAAATTTTTTATTGAAAATGCATTATACCCTAATAGATCCAACAGAAATCTACTAAGTTTTAAAGACATACGTTGTAATTTGAAGATCCAAGGTTGGTCATATTTCAGATATGATCCTATCTTTCATCATTGCCATAATTTGCCTAGCCTATCTATATATACCCTATTAGACTTAATTTTGTATCTGAACTTACTCTAAGGATCGCCATCAAACAAGTCCTACATTGGAGAGGCCCTCTCTCTCACCATTGGGCGTCTCTACACTATTATCAATGTCATTTCCGAGATCAACTTTCTTCCTTGAAGACTTTGATTGGCGTAGCTCCACCATGTTGGTGGTGACACTCTTCTAAAAGAGTTTATTATCGACTGCTATTTCTGGCTTTGTCTTATCGTCGAACATTAAATGGCCTTTATTCAGGCCTTCTTGGATGGTGTTTTGGAACACCACGTAGTTGGTGGTAGAGTGACTCCACAAGTTGTGTCACTTGCAGCACATTTTTCCTTTGAGTTCTACAACCGGGGAATTTTATGGCCATAAGACAACTTGATAATTTCGTTTGCTAACAGATGATCAAAAGTCTGATCGGCCTTAGAGATGTCAAACTCGTATTTTCAGTTGGGTTCGTTTGTTCCATTTGATTATATACTAAAAGCTCGCTTTTTGTAATGAAACTCAGTTTATTATTTGATAAAAGTTCTTTATTTTCTATTGAAATTTTATATGGGTAAAATGTTTGAATTATATTAAATATATGTTATGCATGTATATCTTTTATTTTATATTATAGTTAATCTGGCGTGTAGAGCTTGACTTATACACAGAAAATTAGATTATTGGATCCTTATATGATATGAATAAAGGTTTAAAATTTTTGATGGAATTAGACACACCATTAGTAGGATTGTAGTGCAATCTTTTGACATAGTTTGTCTTGGCTATACGAAACTGTCAGATGTCTTAGATTGTTTTTCTATTACACTTTTTGTATTGGATATGACCATTATTGAGGTGATTTATTTTTTACTAACTAAATAAGAAAATAAATACGTCAAGTTATTATGATTGCTTAAAATCTTGATCCTGAGATATTTAATTGACACGTATATATAATGATTGTCACTTTTTTTTTGAGAGAAATCAATGGTTGTATTATTCATAAGGAATATCAGAGAATAAAAAAGGTATTACAAACTCGGGTGCCTTCTCCCGCCAAATAACAATATCCTCCATGAAGGATGCAGATTTGAAAAGACAGAAGAAGGCAGAGAGTCTACTCGTGGAAGCTGAGCCTCATACGCAGTGTAGTATGACCAACCCTAAGGTGATAGCTAAGCGGAGGGATTAATGTGGCAACCATTCAAATTTGAGGAACCAAAATGACACTCCAAAGAGAAAGCATAATGTCGCATCATTTAGGGGTAGGGAGGGGGCAATGTTTACACCCAAGTATTAAAAACCTAAGAATGACATGCAGTAAGATCTAACGGCCAGAATTGAGTCAAAAAAGATCCAACGGAGATAAGGCAGTTATGAGAAATAATCTCCTAGGATCTCAGAATGCGAAGAGCTGAGCCAAACGTGACATCATAGAGTCATTAGTTGCAGACGGTTTTGAAACACGTTCTTAGTCGTCAAAGAGGGAGGCCATGAGTGCTAGTTTAGTGGCAAAAAAGATGGCTACAATGGTTAAAAACCACAACCTATAAATACAGAGGTACATACAATGCAATCAAACACACACAAATAAGTAGCATACTAGAGTCTCTCTCTGCATTGTTTAAGTTTATGCTTTTTACTCTATAATTCCTTTGTCGTCACTTCAGTGACTTCTTTCGTTCAATTTTAAGTTTAGTAGTTAATGTAACGATTCTTCTTTTTTGTTTACTTTCCTAGTCTTTCAATTCTAGTTTATTTTCAACTCCAAGTTTGTTAGCTTGCTCCTAGAGGGAGTAGTTTAAGTACTTGATCTCCTAGGCATAGAAAAAAATCTAAAGGTAGCCATACATCTCGTTTCAATTGCCTGAACAATCATGATATCAGAACTTCACTCCAGTTTGAATAGGTAAGGTCATAAGTGATGAAATCTTAAGTCCATTTAGACTTTTGCATGCCCGTAATCCAAAATATGACAAACAATATCATAGTGAACTTCTCTCATTAGATGATGTGGAACAGATCATGAAATAGACACTTTCCAACCTTTTCATCTTACTCTTTCTTTGGGCCTCTCTAATTATTGGATGACTAGACTTTTGGCTATCACAATTCACCCCTAAAGGGCTATACGTTCCCTTATAGTAGTTTAGCTAAAAAAAAATGATTTATATATATTGCAACGACCTTTCTCAATCAAGACAATAGGGTGCAAGTAGATGGATCAGAAGCACCCCATCGTTACTGCATCTTTTGATCCAATACAATAGGGTGCAAGTAGATGGATCAGGACCACTTGAATTATTCTATTACTGTACTTTTGACTGTTACATATAGGACTGCACTCGTAACCATTTGATCCGATGGTGGCACAGTATGTTATGGCTATGGTATTAGCAAATGGCTAGCTGGTTTGGATAAGTATAATTTTCGGAGAAGGCAACCAACTTGTTAACGGACCTGATGACTAGTGGGATTAGTTTGTTAGCTGCAGTAAGCTAACCATCATTGCACTATGTAATATGTGACATTTAGTTAAAAGTTCAAACTTATGAATTTGCATCTGTTTATTTCAATGAGGGGGGCTTTGGTGTAACAGGATGGTTACTCCATTGTGATACGAGGGTAAAGGGTTCGAGTAATCAAAACAATCTCCACATGTGAAGGAAAGAACACGTATATATTATCATCTCCAGACTCCATAACAGGAAAAGTCTCGTACACTGAATCATCAATTTCTATATTTCTTTACTAATGATTTTAAAAGTGAGATAACTATCAGTCCTTTGTCGTTGATCACTGTCATACATTAATTTGGAACAATTGGGATTGGATGATGGTTCTAATACTAATACATGTAGGTTGAACGATACTTAAGTCGCTGGA